ATGCTCTCCAAATATGGAAACTGTACGCGTCTGCTCAAAATTAAAAACAAGATAAAAGTTGGTTGTTTTTTAATAAAGCCGGCAAGAATTCACAAAATTTGTGGGCATATTTAATAAAACATTTATTCCACTCACGCTTGTTGGATATGAGATGTTTATAGCCAACTCGGCACTACCTGCCTCATTGGCTATCTACCATCTCATATCCAACGTGCACTCGTGGAATAATTGTTAACTATTATACAGTGTAGTAATGCAAACACAAATAACATTGTGAAACTAAAGAACACAATTTAAGCGTCTAATTGCCTTCAAGAATCCACTGTGCAAAAGAAAATAATTTCCACAATCAACAACAATACAAGAGGAATTAAACTGCTCAGGTAGAGTGTCACTAAATCTAACTCCAATGCAATGTAATGGGAATTGGCTTGTTTAGGCTGATAATCTTTTTTAACTCCTGTAGATTTCTTTGTTTAATTTTTTAAATTTTTCATCAACTTGCAAATTAGGATACATTGTCCATTTTATATAAAATTTCATCTTCAGTAGTATTCCTAATACAAAATGCTCATCCTAATCAGCATTTAACTGCTTCAATAATTCAAATCCATTTTTCTGAGGCTGGATTCAAATCCCTCCCTTGACTTTTATCAGGCCCAGGAGAGACAGGCTCTTGCACATGAGAAAATCTGTGCATTCAATTGGACAATAAGCGTACTGAATATGTATGAATGTTTTTGATACCAAACTGAAACCCCTTCAGGCTTTAACGGGAGCTACACAAAGATGATGAATGCACTAGACACAAAATTGGCAAATGGAAAAAAGTTGAGTCCATGTGTCATGATCTAAATGTAATTTTCAAAACTTTTAAAAGGGGAAACTGTGTTCAACAAGATTAGCAATGCTGCTATGCATATCTCTTTATAATTGCCAGCAACTAAAGAAACAATAGAAATCTCCATGTGGGCTGTAGTTCGTCCAAATCTGGCAAAAACATTACTAACAAAATCAGTCAAATTAAACAGTTCTTTTAATTAGACTGTCAAGTTGCTGAAACCCGTGCACAGCTGCTTGGTAAATATTGTCCTGTGACTGCTAGCACCTGATTGGCTAACATCAATAATTTGACATCTTTTTCTAAATTATGACATTTCTCTAAATAAGAAATCTTTAAAATGCACAACAGTGAATTTATATTTCAGAACAAATAATACGTAAATGTGCAAAAGTCTTAATTAAGCTTAATAAATTTAACGAGTATAATAAAATCTACTGTGTGAAATAGGGAAATACATCGTATTTTAAAATCTTGGCATCTTACGTATTTAATAAAGTTTATTCCTATTTTATAACATGTATACACAAATTTATAATCCAAAACAACTAAGAGGTTTAGAAGACTTCTTGTTGACCGATGCAAAACCCTTCCGTCTCTAAGCTTACCGTATTGCAACATTCAAATTTCAAAGTTTGACTCCACTGAACGAAAATTTGACACAAAAAAGACTCGATCAAGTGTGAGTGGATGTCTTGTGCATATCCCAGTTGACAGTTCTCTGTTTTTGTCACAAAATGCCCATCGTTTATTCCGCATTTATTTCAGACATAACCGTGAACTGATGAATATTCAAACCAAGGATAATAGCGTTCTTAACGAAGCTGAACATGATAAATAATGGCCATCGTTCAAACTAACTTTAATTTTAAATAAAGCAAGGAAAATATTGTCTTTGATTTTTCATACTGTTTACAATAATCGCGTTTCATTACACAAAGAAAATGAAAATATAAGTTTAAGTTGCTCACCTTTCCATTCGGCGAAGTTTTCTTAAAAACACTGCAAAAAATAATGAACCGACAAAAATCACACTGGTAAAACTCTATAATTTTGACAATTTATAATTTATGATTTTAACACCCAGTGAAATAATCCAAATTTTGACGACTTTCCCCAGTAAACTTAGAGCAACATGCACTTTAAACAAAACATAGGGTCAAGCTGTATTTGGGATAATTTGCATGAAACATTGCAGATACAGAGATACCGAGTGTGAAAACACAAGCAAAGTACATGTAAGCAGACCTTGTCCTGTTGATAACTACAGATTTTTAGCTCACTTACCGGGTTCCCGCTTTTTTCGAGTCACAGTTCTCCATGATAGAATCGAACAGCAGCTATCATGAAGAGAAAGTCCTTCTGTAATCGCAAACGCCTTTTGAAACGAAATGGTAATTGGACAGCAGGATAAAAATTCACTGTACACAACTCGATCTCCCAGGGGCAAGGGAAGTCCTTTCAAATTCCCTCGGAAAATTCAAGCGTACATAAGATAAGCGTTGACAGATCACATATGAGTAAGATGTAAGCGAAGAAAAGATGTAAATCGCTCCTTCCACATCGATGCCAGAGAACTAATTTGAGCACGAAAACCCCTTTAGCTTCGATTTACCAGCGCACCCTCATTTCACAGAATGATGCGCATGAGCAGTAGTGGGATTAAGATGTTGTGACGTCACAAGAGTCAATTCTTCGCAGAAGTGAAACTTGGACAGGTGTAAGCGACGTTCGTATTTTGTGAATAATTTACGCCTGGCTTGCTTTACATCTTGCACGCAGATCTAACATCATTTATCTTCGACTGGTTAGCAATAATTTAATAGGTAACGTATATCAAATAATCGGGATTTTCATTTAAACATAAACAGCTGCGAGATCCCCGGGCTTGACGGCATTCAGGATATACTGTATGGGATAAATATGGACTCGAGATCTAAAATTAGGAAACCTATCTCTTTGAAAAGGGTCAAATCCCCCTTAAGCTTTAATTGCTTTAGACTAGAGAACAGTGTGTGAATATTAATACGGAAAGTTTTGAATTCTTAATTAAATGAGTTCTGAGTTTCCGGCTTTGCAAATTGAGCAAAAACACACTGCGAAGCAGTTAACAGGCTCCTTCAAAAAAACAAAAAGAGTTTGTACGGTCCATTTGAATATTCTTCAAAAGGACGTAGCTTCCAACTACCTTAAGAGGACTGCACCAAAATTCATAACATATAAAACAAAAAATGCTTTAAGTTAGATGAGGTTTAAAATGTGACACTTGAACGGAGAACTGATTAGGATTAACGCGGCTTGAGATAATTTTGTGAAAAATGAGATTTTCAAAGTTTCGTCCTTCCTATTAATGACAAGGTTTAAGCGTTCAAATCCTCAGCGTCTACCGGATCGAGTTTCCCCTCGTTCTCATCAATTTTTAACCATGCCATTATTTTCTTTCTATAACGACACAATTCTGTAGTGAAGCCACTAGTGAAGCCAATCCCAATTTCATGGAATAAATGTGATCTCAAGGTGTTAGATAGGTGAATACCCCGATGATTCTAGGGATCTTATTCTAGCGTTCCTATCGGGATTTTGCTAGGAAAAAGTGGAGTGATCGAGCAGGAATGCCCTACAGCAGTCTTAAAACTGAAAATAAAATATTTCAGACACGTGTTTCAGTTGTTTACAGATAAAACTAATCCGGCCGAACACATTCTCTCCGATTTTTAGCTTTTTATGAAAAGTGTTTCCTTGGCGCGAGAAACTGATGCGATTTGCTGTTCTTGTTGTTCAATATCTTCTCTCTTTCAGTAACTTTTCTGTTGATGAAAGTTCACACTCAGACTTTTTTTCATTTTTTTTCTTTGAGATATGAGGATAATTCTGTTCTGCTAAAACGTATTTTGTTTTTCCTTTCCTTTTGTTTTAACAAACCTAGTTTAGGTGAAGTCGAAGTGATTAGAACGGAAGTATAAGAGACCTACCCTTTTTCAGACCAAAAAACGTCATTTTTCTTACCCGTTGTCAGACCTGACCTCTAAATTCGATACTCGTTTTCAGACCTGGCTTATAGCCGGGAATTATGTCATAATTACTTCGATTAGAGCGCAAACAAAAAATTTCTTCAAATGCATTTCAAATTTGCATATTTCTATTTTTTTCTTATTTATTTGGAATTTAAACGATATACATGTATATACGTTCATACGCTCCTGTAGTTCCATCGAAAACCATTCTCGATTTCAGACGAAAATGGGCAAAGAGTATACACGTTTTGAGACCAAAAAGGCCCAAAAACCATATCCGATGGGACGGCACATACCTATATGGCTTATGTAAAGGGAGTACCCTCCCACTTTCCACCCTTCCCCCTGGGACCCGCAGTTCCTCGTCTCCAGTGAGTTAACACAATAAAATGAGGTCGAGGCTCGAGTGGACAGCTTCACACAAATCATTGTATTTTGTCACCTCAGTCAAGCCTCAAGTTGGTGCCTTTGTTCACAGTAATGTGGGAAAGCTATGCTGCATGGTAACTCTGCGAAGATTTACTGGTTTGCAGAGCCCCCTGTGGAACCCCTACAAGAGCGTTTTGGAACAAGTTCTAACGAAGACCGTGAGAACTAACAAACAGCAAACCACTAGCCTGATTCTTGAGAAGGTAAAGAGGAGCGGTGGGCCAAGCTCCTGGTTTGGACAAGGGGAAAAAACTTAAATAAATACTTACCCTGCATGAGACGACACCCTCTGTTTCTGCGCACTGTTTAGGACAAAAGATAAGACTCGGCTTAGTACTCACAACAGTGAAAACCCCATTATTTAGGACCCTGTTTTGAGGTCAAAAATTGTGCCCTTTCGCAAGAGCACATAAGCTCCTGACCTGCTCCAGTACGGGCACGCCCACATGTATGCCATATAAGGAAGTGCACCCCATTCTCCTTACTCAAACTGTTTACTGCCCTCTGCAACCTAGTCTCCAGGGCGCTTTTCCAAAGCCAGGGAACAGCGCCCTGGGGACGAGGTTGAGCCCTTTGTGTTCTGAAATGAACGCACAAACTGTACTAGCCAAAGTGTCTCAACAGGGAAAGCAAATTCCACTGTTATCAGCCCTGGGGGGTACTCACTTTAACGGGCCTATACGGGGAGGCCCCGCCCACCTTTTTCAGGCTTTGGGTTATATCAAAGGGTAGTTGAAGTATAAGAAAGTGTAGAGAAATCTGTCATTGCAGTCTGTGACAAGACCTGCTGGAACGACTAACAGGCGCATTTTATGGCTCTGAAAAAGATAAGAAAACTTTCAAGTTTACCATACCATTTTAAAAGACGGTGTTTTACAACAGTTAACAAAGATAGAGCGTTTTAGCCTAATATACGAAAGGGTTACCACATCTCAATAAAAGGTATACGAAAGGGGTATTTAACCTGTCAAAAATGGTCTCTGAAAAAGGTAAGGGCTTGGACCTAGAGACGGAGCCTCCCCTCCCCCCAAATTTTGTTGAGTTCCTCCCGGGGGGAGGCCTAACTCATATTCTCTCGAGATTTGTGTTCGTTTCGCTCGCTCAAAGGAACCAAGTAGAAACGGCACGTCTAACTCCTGCACTAAGGAAGTGTGTGATGATTGCAAAAAGAGCAAAAAGAGGATAGCGATTCAGCTATCGATGGCGACTCGGCCGAGGCTTTACAGAAAGTTCCATAATTTTGCGCAGTAATTTTTCGCGATGCAAGGGCCTTGTTTCTTTTCACGTTGCAGCTTGCATATATAGCCAGCTATTTTGCTATTTCCGCACCTTTGAAATCAAGGACCGATACCGAAAGAAAAAATCACGAGCTAAGAAAATTATAGTGTGAATATTTACCCTCTCGTACCACATATCCGTCTCTCCCGCCAACAGACTGTTAAGTGTTCTCAGTCGACTCTCCACCCTTTTAACGCAAACTCGAAAGTCGTCGTAAGAATCGTGACTAATAGCGAGAGACAGTAAGCTGTTTAAATTGCACTTTCCTCTGCCACAGTGTTTATTTCAATAATAACGTCAAGCTACGTCATGTGACATCAACTGCTATTTCTAACATTGATCAGATATGAAATATTGAATATAGTTCAGAAACGCCAGACAATCTTACGCAGTGAATTGTCATATCACCATGACGGCGAGTCCACTGAGGGAAAACCTTGGCATTTTTCGGTGACTTTTCTGAATTTATAATCATTTAACCGTTCGTGGGCAAATTTTGGACATAGAAGAGCCAATTTATAAATGCTGATGTGGTATATGCGCGGTTCTGCTATAAAACTGAAAGAAGCCGGCTTGTCAACCTGAGCGTCCTTATTTTCCTGATGCAACTTTCAGGACGTTGTGGATCGCGGGGGAGCTTGGGAAAGAATTTTTCGAAGCGCGTAAGGCGACACAAAGCATAGGTATGCAACTCCATTAACAATTTGTGCCTCTTTCGACTTTGTCGCGGTTCTACCACCTGATCGTCTGATGGTTGAATACCCGTCATAATTGGCGCGAAAGCGACAACACAGCGCTGTTCACTACGTTTTCCAAGACGTTTTCTGGGCGTTCTATCCTTTTTTATCATTGCCAAAAACCGTCGTCATTTTGATTTTCCTCATTCACATTTTCATATTGATGGCAATAAACATAGTAGCCTGCGAGCAAGCTCTCTGGGCGCTCTGACGGCGGGGTGGGAAAAGGAAGGAGAGCTTGCAACTACGTCTCTGGAATTTGAATATCTCCATCGAAAAAGTCGATGCGAAATGCTGATTGGCAGAGATGACCTTAGTAATGATGTCAAATGATGTCATTACCCTTGACACGTGTTTTTCAATGTTTGTTTACATTCGCGCTCGTTTCCGCTTCGCGCTGATTGGCGGAAATTTGACAGCTCACTCGACAAGGAGCCACAGGGAATTGGAGGCAGAGAGCTTGCTTGCAGGCTATAAACATAGTACAGTCGACTCTCTCTAAGACGGACACCTTTGGGATGGCATCATGTGTCCGTCTTAGAGAGACATGTCCGTCTTATTGAGATTCAAGATTGAACCTCTTTACAACCTTGGGGCAGAAGAAAGTGGCCGTTGTAGAGAGGTTTAAACAAGAGTCAATGTATCAGGGACACCAAACGTCAATTTTTGGAAAATATCTGTTCGGAAGACGATTTGAGAACTAGAATTTTCGGAACATTTGTTGTAAAATTTCTTGCTTGCCTGCCACTTCTAGGATTTTCGAACATCTAAAAAATGGTATAATTGCCCATTTTTAACGGATTTTTACCCTAAAAAGTTTACCTAGAATTTTCGGGAGCCTTTTTTCTGGCTGAAATTTTCGAAAAGGTAAGTTTTGATCCCTATAATTTTCTGATCACTAGACTTTCAGCTAGGAAATCCGAACAGATGAAAAACTTTTAGGTGATAAAAATGTGCCTATATCTACCGTTTAAATGCTAAAATACGTTCAGCAATGCTATGTATGTTGGGTGCCCCTGATGTTTGGACTGTCCGAAAAAAAAGTGGCCGTTGCAGAGAGGCGGCCGTTGTGGAGAGGTGGCCATTAATAGAAGTTCGACTGTAATTAAAAAGGAGTAGAGAAAGGCAGGAAACGAACTCAAGGTATCCGGATCTTAGAGAGGTGTCCATCTTAGAGAAATGTCCGTCTCATAGAGCCGATAACTAGCATTTAAAACAATACTTCTAATCTTTGTCTCAAAAGCGAACTCGGTTTTCTTTGTTAAATGTACGTTTTAGTGTAGAAAACGAACAGACGAACATCTCACGGTGATAAAACAGGATAAAAGTTGGACAAAATCAGCAAAATTTCCACTCTGGAGAGCGGATTAAAAAAAAAGAACATGATGTGGATTCGTATTCCCGATTCGCCGGATACGTTTCGACGGAAGCCGTATCCGGAGGGAAAAAGTTGCGGATTCCAAAATAGCCGGATACGTGTGCACGAGGCCTAAATTTCCAGGAAAAACAGCACAGATGGTACATGCACTCATTGCGTTCCAAATTCCAGCCATTCCAATCCCAGAGTCCTTCTCGCTGTTTATAATAGTGAAAGGTCAAACATCTTCTGTTGTTTGGGAGGCAAGCTGTTTACAATAATAACAGTTTCCATGGCATAGTAATTGTGAAACAAAAACGTGATTAACTCTTGCTTGACTAACAAAGACAACATGCGACATTCCGACAGTGGGCTTCAGTTAATGGCTTAAAGAACAATACAGCTGTCAGGTCATTAGATGATCGAAAAAACAGCAAAGAGTGACTCACTTTAGCCATTTGTATTTACATTGTTCACGTTTAAAGCAGTATGTTTATAACCGTAAGATATGGAGGTATGCTCTCATTTCTTCTTGTAAACCGTTTAACTTCGATTTTAATACTGCGAATCTGACTTCGTGACTGAGCGATGTTAAAAATTTATGTTTACACGCGATGAGGCGACGTGTTGCATCTCACAAACGTCACGAGGAAGTAATTGCGCTCCTTGCTTTCGGTTTTAGATTGTCAAGAAGCTCTTTTTAACCCAAATTGTATGACAAAAGTTCTTTTAGAAGACATCAAAAAGAGGTGCCGACGAGGAAGAGAAGGTTGGTTTCTAGTCACTTGTTTAAACTAAGCTTTCGTCAGCTGTTGTTTGTTGAGTTTATGTTCAATATCTCAAGCTGTTTGTTCGATGCTTGTATTTGGAAATGTTTGTGTTTTCTCAGAGATAATTGACCTGTCGGATGAATCGGGCAATCTAAAGAATCTTTTGGAGCATAAAAGTGAATATGCCACTGAAATTCTCAAAGCTCGACACTCGTTTATTCTGATTAGAGTTGACAGTGAGTATTAATTCTATACTTTTGACATGTTTTTTTATCTTTACGCCGTTGTTGCACTGTAAGATGATTTATTTGTTTGAAAAGCGAAATACGAACTTGTTATTCAAACGGCTTAGATTTTTAAAAACTTATAATAAGTCGCCGACATCATATTTTTGGTACTCCATGAAAGTAGACGCAGGAATAATGGAATGGAGCATGGAACACGGACTTGAGGAACATGCGGAACCTACTAAAATTTAGAGTTCAAGTATTGAATTATTTTCCCCTAGAATAGCAGAACAAGCAAAATATGCGAGCTTCATCAAAATTATTGCTTGCCTTTCCATGTCAAGATGATTTTCATTGAAACGGTCATATAAATTCCCTTGCTCTACATCACAGTCAAAACTCTGTTAAAACAAAAACTGAGAGGGGCCATAAAAAGTGTCTGCATTAAATGGGTTGAATTTAGAGAAAATCTTAGGACTTTCTTCCCCCAGGGACAAAGAAAACTATCTGTAATAATTAGGTGTTGAAAGTGGGTGTCTTTGAAGTGGGATTTGACTGTATGGTGGTGCATTTTTAACTTTAGGGATCTAAGGTGGGGGGGGGAGGGGGTAAATACATAGAAGGTATTTAAAAGAGAGAGGCGTTTATTGTCATATCTTTAACAAATTCACTAATATGCTTTGCAAAAATATCAAGAGAGTTTATAAGTAATTTATTTTTGTTTTTAATAAAGAAAAAGAAGGAGATGAAGTATCAACATACACTCCACTTCTTAATGACATCAAGACAATAACATCTACCTTCTTGCGTAAGTAAATAACAACAGTAAATTTATCATGACAATGATACTGATAATGGTACTAAATTACTTAATTTAGAATTTAGAAGTGAGTGGAAGATGTGAAATGTTACTGAAAATTACTGAAATTTGAAAGACAACAGTCCTAGGTGACCAAGGTAAAGAGGTCTATATTAAGGCCAAAGGTCTCTCTATTTAAGCCCAGTAAATTGGGCTGGCTTAGTCAACCATGCCACACCAGTCCTGTGTTCATATGAGAAATTTAAGTCTGGTAAAATAGGGTATGTTTATCAAAAAAATGAGTAATTTATATAGAAAAGTCGTGCTTTTCTTTACTGTAGTCCTGAAAGTTTTTAAATGATTTTTATGTAAAAGAAATTTTCAGGTGCTTTCTTTCAATAAAGATGTACAGTCACATATTTGAAAGAGTTTTTATGTTTCGGCCAGCCAGTCTGGGAAGTTTGTATGGCAAAATTCCAGCCTGGCCAAAGAACTATTAGATTCAGTAAAAAAAAAAAAAAGTGCCATAAAACTTGGAGACTGGGACCTCAAACCTGGAGGTTTCCAAAATATTTGTCAAATAAAACCTAGGCTAAATTACCAGCCACTGTTCAGGAAAATGAGCCCACACTCATCCCCCTGAAGGAGTGGCTGGACACATGCGATCAGTCGTCTCTCTTCAGGGAGGACCAAAGACCGGACCCGGGAGACAGCGGAAATCAAGCCTTATAAAACCAAAAAGGCAGATTATTTTTGTCATGGTGTTCTTTACTCTATTAGTTGTCTCTGTTGTACCCTGTTGTTGCTTTTATGGGATTTGTAAGAAGATTCTGTTTCACCGTCTACGTCGATCGATAGGACCCCGAGTAGCCATTTTGAGTTTGCTATAAAGCTTTCCCTGAGACCTTAGGCAACCTATGTTTCACAGGAATGAGTTTGGAATTACACCCATGTTTCCCCAAAAATTAGATTGATACATTATATTATATGATGACAGATTTTTTTAATTCACCTGATTCCTTTTGGAATTTTCTGGTAATGTTGAGATTTACCGTCTCACTGTGAGATTTGGAGGCCAAATCATGAGACCATGAGTTGTTAGCCCAAACCGTGAGAGTTGGAAGGTATGAGGTTACTAAATGAGCATTCTCTTACAAACAATATTTGTTTGTTGCTGCAGAACATCTGACCCGGCCACAAAGCAGTCAAAGTATAACCAGCTCACCAAGTCGACAGGGAAGACGCAAATCAAGTGGTAACTGGGCAAAAGCCAGAACAAGTGTGGCACTGAGTGGAGAACTCAGGAAGCGAGCAAGAATGAAAAAATCATGAGGATCACATTCTAATGTCATTTATTACTGTTCTGTCATAGTCCAGTAATTTGTATGTTATCCCAAGGGGTGGGAGGGGGGTGCTCAACTAAGTTTTATATGGGTAGGCTCCGCCCCAAGGTACAACCCCTTACACTTTTATATACTATTTTCGTTAGAAAAGGGATCCCTTTTGTATACCCACTAGGCATCTGTCAAATAATTCGCCCTTTCACTTACCTACATTAGAACACATCATCACTTTTAAGGTCTCTAAATGCACCCTCTTTTTAATATGAATAAATCACTAAACCAAGAAGTTTTCTTGTCTCTTTCACATCCATGAAATATATCTGTTAGCCCTTTTTGGTCCTTTTACAGTCTAAAATGACAGATTTCCCAACCCTTTCACATACTTCAACTACCCTTTGATCTTTGAAAAAGGTACCCTGGGGGGTATTCCCTATAATGGCCTATGTTGGGAGGTTCCACCTCACAGGGGTATCTTTTTTAGGCTTCTACAGGTATATGAAAGGGTAGGGATTTCACAAGTTGAAGTACATGAAATGGTAGGGAAATCTATCATTTTGGTCTGTAAAAAGGCACAAAACTTCTTATGGCCGTGAAAAAGTCAAAGAAATTTTCTGGTTTGTGATTTGTTCATATTTTAAAGACAGCACATTACAGCAGTTAAAAGGGATGAAAAGTTCCTAACAAGATGTGTGAAAGGGGTACTATTTTTCAATAAAAGGGTTAGCTTTTCTGTCAAAAATGGTGTATAAAAGGGGTTAGGCCTCATGGCGGAGCATCCCTGTAAAAAACTTTGTTGAGTACCCCACTGGGCTTTGTGCAAGAATCTCATGCCAGCACTAAGCACCTTAGAAGACCAATTTTGAGATATAGAAACTAACTGTTTTGCGGTTTAAAGGTCAATTATAGCTGGAACCTAGCCTGCAAGATACTCTCCTGGGACGCTACGGCTCTCTCATTCCCTTCTTTCCTCCCCCACCCCCGTACCCCTGAGAACTCCAGCAGGCTAGCTGGAACCTCCTGTTAGGGATCACCAATTCTTGGCATCATGGTGGTTACTAATGGGAGGTTTGACAATATATGGAACAAAACTATAAGAGCTGTACTCTTGAGCTTCTATTCTCAATTCGTTTTGAACAACTTGTACTCTTCAAAATTATTAGACTTATTATACATACACATGTACAGATAATTTTAGTGAACAAATGAACATCACATTTAATTGAGATATTTTTTTGAAAAAGAAAAGGTCTTCAACTTTTTTAATTTTAAGAGCGTGACTTTAAACAAAATGAATATATCAGTAAAATGAGAAGGTACATTAATTTTTGTCTGCTTATTTATTTATTTTTTGGTCATGGCACAGGTACCCCAACCTCACAATTGAGCCTGGGATACCTGTGGTCACGGGTGACGGGTCAAAACAAAAAAGTAAACTTGCAAACCCTGTCTTGTCACTCCCACTTCTGCCAATACCTAAATTCAAGAAAAATTATTGATCTACATCCCGTGGGCAGACATACACGTAAAAGGGCTGGGCAATTGGTCATCAGAAACTTGGAAAACCAATCTTGACATATGGCTCTACATGCCTTATTTTAATAAAACATACAGCGCTAAGTAATAACTGTGTACTAATTCTTATAGCCTGTGTAGCAAGCGTTTCCAATCGTGTTATTGCGCGAAAGTTAGAGCGGAAGCAAAAAAAACCCCTCCCCCTCCCCCGTCATTCATTTTTTCTTTGCTCTTGCCCCAGCTTTCTAGACGAACCTCGCGAGGAAACGCTTGCTATGCAGGCTATAATTCTCAGGGGATGGGGTGGCAGTCCACTATTTGGCCTAACCGGGTATGTGTAGCCTCCCCTGCAGACATTCTTAGGCGTGCGTCACGCGTTCCTAAGAATGTCTGCGGGGGAGGCTAGGGTATGTGCCGCTGAACAGGATATGGTTTTCAGTGTCTTTAGGCTTTACAGGGTACATATACACTTTCACTATTTAGCCTCTTGAACAGGTTGTCATTTTGGACCAGAAACCTTTAAATGAGTGTGGAGGCTGCCAATGAGGGGTCTTCATTTGTGTACTAACATTCTTTTTTCCCAAAAAGAGTCTAATTCCATGATGTTAGTTTGAAAACTTGTTTTACCCTGTATGCAAACCATACGAATCAGGCGCTTGTTTCTCGAGAGACCCGGTAACTTTTCGGGTCCGAAAAGAAATTTTGAAATGGAATACTGTATATATAGTAGCACAGTTAACCTAACTCACAAACCGGTCAATTTTGCTTCCTTAACTGATAGTTTCATTGAGTCATTTTCAAAATTATTGAAACTTTGATCTGGAATGCAAACACGGTAAACATAAAAGCGCTCAATTTTCGGGTCTGAAGAACTATCGGGACTTTCAAGAAACGGGCGCCAGGGCAATAAAATAAAGTCTCTTGTTTTGAAAAGAGCCAGGGTTTGAAGGCTTCGGCGGCACATCTCTCTACCAAAACTTCCATTGAGTACCCACCCGTACCAATTAAGTCGGCAATTTACTCTGCGTCCCAACCCCTTTCATATACCGCCTCCTGGCCCCTCCCTCCCTCTCTACCAAAACTTCCATTGAGTACCCACCCGTACCAATTAAGTCGGCAATTTACTTTGACTCCCAACCCCTTTGATATGTGGCTTCCTCGCCCCTCCCTCTCTACCAAAACTTCCATTGAGTAGCCACCCATACCAATTAATTTGTTGTTGGTTCTCTCCCTTGCTCCGAGAGCTTTTTCTCCGGGTACTCCGGTTTTCCCCTCTCCTCAAAAACCAACACTTCCAAATTCCAATTCGACCAGAAATCACGTAGACGAAGAAACAATTTGTGGATGTGCTACCTCTAAATCATTATTATTTATTAATTATTATTTATTTATTTACTCCCAACCCTTTTCATATGTGGCTTCTTCGCCTCGCCCCTCCCTCTCTCTCTACCAAAACTTTCATTGAGTACCCACCCGTAACAATTAATTGTCGGCAATTTCCTCTGACTCCCAATCCCTCCCTTCACTGAAGATCACCCTATCGTTAGCCTGCGTAGCAGCCTGTATCACGCCCTATATAGACCATTAGTATATACAGAAGGTTTACAGTGTCTACGACACAGGCTACCTATCGTTGCTTCTTATGTAACTCGAGCTTTCAATAATACTGTTGCGTCTTTACTCTGAGATACAGTAATCAGTGATAACACAAATTGTTACTCTAAGCAAAGAACAGGAAAGAAAATACAAAAAGTGCAACAGAATTTTAATCCTGGATTAGCGCTAATCGGCCCTTCAGGAACCGAGCCCAGAGTCCTGGAGGCGAGATTGTTTTAATTTAAGGGCGTAGTCCGAGCGTCCCCTCGCCCCGTTGTAGCGTTGTTTAAAAGCGGAGTTTGGGAAAGCTTGAGCGATTTTCAATTTTGTGAGGGTGGAGGAGGGAGAGATGGACGAGCGAAATTCATAAAGTGTCCCAACTGTTTTGTCCGGGGTTGTAGGTGGGTGGTTGGTGATTGCTATCATACCGCACAATTCTTTCCATTTCACGCTCCCTCCTTCTTTACTTTGTATCACAGTTCCTTCAACGACAAAAGTTACGACAGGGTAAAAGCCCTGAGGACGAGGTTGAAGTTATGATGTTTTCCTGAGCAATTTATACCTCATTATTCTATTTACGTAGGGACAAGCCACTCAGGCTGCGCTTTACTGCGGCTTCTTAAATTATGATTGGGCAAATCGGTTCTTGCGGCGTGCCGCAGAGGTTCCGAATGTACCGTGCTCTTTGTGGGTCTTTGTGTTCGTGCCGCGCTGGAGAGGAACATGTCCCCCAACATTTTCTTGTGTCTAGGAACCTGATTTTGTCTCTGCGTGTTACTGCTATGCCTCCTTGTACTTTGTCGCGGTTTTGCTCGATCTCCGCTGTGGCATGACCTCTTCCAAGTTTACGACTGAAAAACAAGTTGTCCTTGCACAATCTTGCGGATTACCACTAATTTCAGCCCAATCAGCCCGTTTCTTTCAGGTCATTGAGTAATCCTATTTATTTCCCTTTTGGATAACAAGGACATAAATAAAGAAATCCCACATCCTCTGTATTGACAACCAGCTTTCTCAGTGTTGAATATTTAGAATTCCAGAAACTATAGATCATTTAAAAAGTTAGTGACAGTCATGATGTTAAAGCAAGTTCACTTTATAGGGAGTTCCATGAAAGAAAAAAAATATGACGATACGATTTTCCGTGTGCGCGAGCAGTCTGGGCTTGTATGGACTTCCAGTAAGGTCAAAAACGTGGACTCAGGCACAGAAAGCCATTTGATCGTGTTTGTAAACGAATACACTGAACTAAGTTATCCAGAGCGTTCGTGGCTTCCTTCACAAATGGAAAGTTTAAACGATCATCGTTTAAGATCTTCAGAGTAGATTAATCTGTAAACGGATAAATAAAGGTTTCCTTTGGTTGCCCGCTTTAACCCATCATACATGTGCAACATCATTATCATACTTGCCCAACCGGTTTAAAAGTATTCTGTTGAATTCCCGACGCTTCATCTTTGCAAAATGCGGGAAAAAAAACAACTTAACTTGAAAGTAGAGAGCTTTAGATTTGAGGGCGAGGACGACTAAGAGTACGAGATTTTCTTAATACTAAGTAGTGCACGTGCGTGAACCAGCGTTATTCGGCGGAAAAACGTGATGGCCGTCGTCATTCTGCAACGGGTTTTCAGTAGCGAGAATGTCGTAGTGGCGGGAACAAGTAATCAAACGTATGAAGTTCTATCATTTTGCTATCGGGAGGGGGGTTAACCTCCTTTAGTATAAATAACCGTCAATTTTTAGGTGAAAAATGTAAAATGGAGCTTTCCGAGGTGTCTTTCTCAGTTAAGAACAAGCGCAAAAACGTCCTCAAATCTAAAGCTCTCTAGTATAGCCAAAGAAGTGTCATTTATAGTTCGTCAAAGGCATCAAAAGTTAGGACTACCTTACAAGACTTAATATAATCACTCACTTGCAGTGAGGGTTTACGCCCTTTTTTTACCTTTTGAAATTGCTAAAAGTCTGTGAAAAGCGATCCATATCAGCGACTGTAAGGCCGCGTAAAGTAACTATTTTTTTTGTTTTAGCGTTTTTAATTTAAAAAATTAGTTTTGTATTAAAAGGAGTTGTTCTATAGGCGTAAATCTCTCGATAGTGGAATAAACTTTCATACTGTTAAATATTAATGTTTTTGTATGTCTTATATTCATGCTTGATTAATATTATTATTATTATTCTTTTATAACAGAGAAAACACGAAATTTCAACCAGAAAAACTGCTTTTTCTATGAACCCTAACATAGGAGAGGTGTTAAGAAGTTCTGGTTTATGAAGTTAAACTATGATTGAAAGCCAGCGCCCTTTTCCAGCGGCTGCTACCAGCTGTTTTTGCTTGGACAAGTTTCCGACAGATCAGTAGATCATCTGCCTCACGTTACAAATAAAAAGTAAGAGTAACACGAGAAAAGAAGCAGTCAAAAAACAAACAAACAAATTAATCGGCAGGAAAAAAATCACAATAGCAGCAGGTAACAAACAGACTCTCAAACTTGTCATGTTCTCCCAGGGCCTTACGAACCGACAACGCGACTGACAAACCACGCGAACGACTTTGCTAAAAGCCATACCAGAAAAAAACCGTAGGATTTTAAAACTGAGGGTTTGGAATGCCATGACAGTGAAGTTTTACTTTTGGACTGATACAGTATAAGATTACATGTTTTTCGCGAAAGAACCACACCCCTTCTAGACCAGTGGCAAGCATCTTTGCCCGTCTCTTTTTTCACTAAAGAAAATAAGAACTTATTTTTAAAGAACCTGGCTAAATAGCCTAATTTTAAGTAGATACCGCATATGTAAGAACCTTTTAAGACTAACCTGGTAAAATCTAGGTTCTTATAGGTTGTCCATACTGTATAAACAAGTTAAACCCTCTCAATGATATGTTTTTTCAGCCAAGTATAGCTAAGAGCACAGAACTATTACTATGAGCCTTTTTATTTTTGTTTGTTTGCTTGTCTTTTTTTTGCCATTGTCTTCTCTTTTGCTCGTTATTGCTTCGTCTTTGCCGTTTGTTTGAAAGGTTTTCACTGGACTAAGTCATATCAGCTTTTAGCAGAATTTCCTTTCTCGGTATTTAGCATTAATAAATATTGATAAGCTAAAAGAATCTGGAACACATGATTTGAGAAACAAGGTGATTAAAATATTTTGAATCGTTCCGTAAAAGAAGCGAAGATTAAGGTTGTTTACGCCACATCACCGGCATTTCTGTTCATGAGAAATAAGTCGTTTTCGACAACAGACAACAACAAAGATGATTAAACATGTTAAAATTTCAATTTGAATGGAATCAGACAAATTAATTCTAAAAGAAGTTTACTTTGTCACCTTGTGCTTCACTTCCGCAAACAGGCAAAGAAAGATTGAATGGTACGCTAGTTTCGTTGGTGTGATGGAACAAAGAGAGTGTTGAATAGAAATCGTACGTACGTTTTGCTTATGCAGTGTATAAAGTGGCGTATTTACCAATATCCCCACCCCCGCCCCTTAAAAAAAAAGCGGCCGCCAACCTCCAGTAGAAAGTGGCGAGCGATTAGGCTGACCTTGCATGCTTTCAGTTTAATAATACAAAACTGATTCTTACGCCGAAAACGGAAGGAAACACAACATCAAGTAAACTGAAAATTTACCCCCGATTTTTCATGATTTTTGGCTTAAAAAATCGTCATTCCATGGCATGCTTTGTCCAAACAAAAAGATTAAGGTATAAACTTAATAAATGGACTGATAGCGGCTGACAAGCTTTGCCTGAAGCCGTGAAAGTTTTGCTTAAAAGCCAGCTCACTGATTCGCAGACTGTGGAAATTCCCTTCCCTTTCCCTAGCCTGTGTGGCAGGCGCTAAAGGGGAAGTCGAGGCGGGGGGAGGGAGAAAAGTACCCTTCCCCCGTCACATGTTCCCTTGCGCGTTTACTCTTTTACCTACCGATGGTTGTATGAACTTTCACCTATTCACTCGCCAGTTTGTTTTAAAATTGTTTTTGTTTGCATTTTTCCGTCTTTTTGTATCGCCGCAGCGTTGAAAGGAGTGTCTGTCTCTTTGCGGAAGGTCTGGTTGTGATGTGTTATTTGCTTTCACGTCGTGCTTGTTTTTGACCGGACCTAAATGAATTTTCCACCTTGTTTGTTTTGACAAGCGAGGAAAGTGGCATAAAGGCCTTACTCAGATCCTCGATCGCGTACTAAAGACCGAAAATTCTGTTGCGTGCAAGCTAAATTTATACATTTTCCGCCAATACTGCAAATTATGTCAAATATTTTTTAACGTAGTCTTAGCAGATCGACGGAGGTGGTCGACACATTAATGATGTTAGACTGCTGCAAGTTTTCTTTTACACGTCTGCACTTCTTATACGAATCAAATGATCAAGCAGTGGCACGATTAGCTAAAATCAACAATGCTACAAACAGTTACGAAGTATTTTGTCATTGAACAAATTACCCCGACGTCAAACTCTTCGTGTGCTTTATCGAAAACATGACTTGTCTGAACGAAAATCGCAAAAGCAAATAATAAAAAAACCTTCGACAAATCTGGCTACCGGAAACAGGATAACATAATATTTACCAGTGCATGCCATACCAAAATTGTAGCGACGAAAGGGTCTTGATAAAATTGAAAAGCGTACTTGGAGACTATAGATAAACACCGAACATCGTCCTGAAGTGGGGTACGATAAAATTGATTGGTTGATTAAATGTTCCTTTCGCGTGTAAGAATCTAACCCAGTTGACTTTGAACGACGACATCTTCAAGGGCAAGGCGTTCATTATCAATGGAAAAATTTGTCGAGTAAACTCGACTCCGCCGGCAAAATTGAGAGTCACAAAAGTGTCAAAAAGTCCCAGCGTGGCGTAAATCAAATCAAACCAACCCAAACCAGTTAACAATTTCCGGTGTCGTATAAAGGAGATGCCAGTTGCGATCAGTTGCTTTAATTCCGCGAGGTAAAGTATGCTTTGAGACATTCAGAGCAACTTACACGTCTCGATTGAAGGCTAACCTCAAGTATTCGAGACATGTTATCTCTTCTTCGACATGCATTTGATGCAACGATATCAACATCAACACACAGCTCCTAGTCGCCGAAGCAGAAAGTTATTTTATACAATCGTGCTCCGAGACCTTTAAGAGCGCCGGTATGCAACCTCTATCGCTTTGATTTGCATAAAAAAAGTCGGAATTCTTTCCACTGTTTGGGACGACAATGAAAGTCAAATGCATTTCAGGTGGCTTGGTGAGAACAAAATGTTTGTAGACTTTAACCAACAGGGGGTTTTGCTGTGGAAAAAATATTCCCGCTCATGAGCGCGAACAACGTTCCGGTCCATTGGTCTGCTAAACCAAATGACTCGTAACCAATGCAGAAAAATTTTATGACTATCACGCAGGCGAAACTAAAAAGGTTTCGTGATGAAATTAAATACAATTATCGTTTTCCGCAAAGTTATCGATACTTGAGGGCTTTTGTAGTGACCTTTACGGGAATCCAGAAAAAGTTGACAGAACTTGTTTCAGAAGCAACATTTCTCACATTCCATATACTTAAACCTATTCCCGTGGGACGCAAATACAAACAAAAGCAGACCTCAAAATATCATTCTTCGTGTGCTCTCAAGGAAGCAAGGAGGCCCTTGCAGGTATTAAAGAGAGCAAAAATTATTTCGAATTGTGACTTGAGCCCCAATTTTTTCTGGATAACTTATTCGCACCGTGAAAACTTTCATGGAGTATTTCCTGTCCCGAAGAAAATTTTCCGTACAGAAACCGAATACTCCCTCAGCATGACTTGCCTGCCGCAAAACATGTACAGTTGCACTTTATATTTATATTATATCAGCACAGAGATATTCTTTTGATCAAATGAACTTTATTGGCATTTTAACAACCGCTGAATAGATTCATCTTAAATCTCGATATATCGAGTATTGTCACTTTTGAAATAAATGAAATACAAACATCATTTACAAATGTGGGTTTATAGTACAGGGTGAATATTTTCCCCACAACCAAATACAAATCATTTACAACTTTACTAAGCTTCTTCTTCTTCTTATACATTTATATATATTTATAAATTCAAGACACTTTTACAAGAAATATAAACAAAATGTGCTACCCCTTGCACATCATATAACTAGATATACATGTATATGTGAAAGATATTCTTTAAGAAATTAGAAATCTACTGAGCAAGTCGAAGATTCTCTTTGCCTTTTTCTTGTGGTGGTTTTCCTGTGAAGTTGATTCGATTTAGGATCGTCTTTCTTTTTTTCCGTGGACGTCGGCGAGGTGACGAGCAGGAATTCCAGATATGGTTGTGAAAGAATAATCGCTGCTTGTATCGACAAGACACGCTCTTGGTTTTTCAGCGCGTCAAATAAATCCCAGTAGACACTGTGTTCCCACAAATGCTTGGTAAAACAAACTTTACTCTTGTACAACTTCCCTGCGAAAAAAATAAATAAAACAAAGTCCAGAGGCTCGACGAGACAAGTTGCTCTGATATTAAACATGTCGAAATTCTGACAAAAGAGTAAAATAAAGTAAAATAATAAATAATACTATAAAACAGGGAAACCATTTGAATTATCTGCGCTCAACTCGTAAAGTTAATCGATAAGCGTGCATGTTTCAGTTTTTGAGGTTCAAAGCGGAAAATTTTCAATGAATAAGAAAAAAGTTCCGGGATATTTTGGTCGAAAACGAAACACGAGGCGACTCACATGACACGGACCGTGAAATTGCCAAAAAATTTCGTTCGCAAATTTTCGCAGGATAAACGTGACTAGAAAATCCAGAAAATAGTTAGCAATGTTTCTGACCAAATTTGACAGCAACAACTTCAAAGTTGCTTGGGAAAAAATTCTAAAACGCAACTCTCGACACAAATATCCCTCATACTTCGCCTCATTTGTTTGCCCAGCTAAATAATTAGTGCAGCGTAGTAAAATTGTAAAAATATTCTTAAAAAAATTCATTTCTCAAGAACATGCCACAAATATAACACAGAAATATAGTGGAACGTTTAAGCTATTCTGCTAAAGAACAAACTTTTCTCAAGAGGAGAAAACGTGAAAGATGTTGCAAAATTTTCATTGGCGCACTCAGGTCTACTCATGTAAACACAACAACGTATTTGAATGAAGATTTTATTTAGCCGCATCGAACGTGCGATTTACGACGTCTACGCGACCGAAATAACCACTCATAATTTACAACAAGATAACAAAAAATTCTTACCGCAAATTGAGCAGTTTATATCGTTCCCTTCGACAGAATCGTACTCTCTAAGAACCTCGATAACTCCTTCTAGCTCTAAAGTTCGCTGGTGCGGTGTGGTTGTGGAACTCCATTGGCTGGGAAATCTCGCTTTTTTTCTCCTTCCTCCGGTTTCTACAGCCTCCAAAACATCTCTAGCTTCCACTGTAGTCTCAGGCATCTTTTCACATCAAAAGAACCAAAAAAAGTTGCTTCTTGAACGACGAAACACGGCTAAACACAGACGTGGTGGGTGGGACGCAGCAAAAATTTTTTTTCCAGCTTTTCCACGAGGTCGCAAAAATACGAGCTATTTGCATTTTGACAACAACAACAGAGTAGATTGTCGCCCTGTGATTGGTCAACAACAGAACAATGAAAGAAGGTTGAATGGCATATAATCCACATGCGCGGACTGTGATTGGACAAGAAGACGACGTGCAGCACGTGACTCGTGCCATGAATGGCCTTTCCCGCGAAAAAATTAGTAGAAAAAGGCGCGAATAAACCCGCTCAGCATCATGGTAAATCAACAGGCTCTAAAAAAGGAGAAATTTATGCTGATCTAAAGTTTTATTTAAAACCACAAGGAAATCTGCCCCCGCATCAGTGTTTCTACTAGCTTGAGTACCAAATAATATTTATGGCAATGCCTGCTTTTGGTGAAAGGCCAATTCAAACAGATCTCATCATGAATTGGGATTTATGTACGTTTTAAGTTACCAGCAAAGTGTGCGTCACGAAAGCCGATCCACTTTCAGTGTTAGCGCGCATCTCTGTACAAAAACACCAGGCTTTCCCGCAAGCACATAATAACTGATCTTCATCTAAGCGAGTACGTTTTTTGGTTAGAATGCGATCGGTAAGGCGTAATTAAAAATCTGAAATAAAGAAAATGGAAACGAAAACAAAACTCGCGTTGGAACAATAAAAGAGCTGGTGACGAGCACGTGTTCACAGGTTGCTGTAAAGAAAATATTCTTTGTTTTCCTTTGCCAAAAGTGACATTATTTTAGTTTGAAGTAGCTATGGACTGCTGCAGCATTATGACTGTGTAAAAAAAGATGTCAAACTTAGCCGATTTATGTATGTACGTAACCCTGGCTGGCTTTTTGCCACTTTTGAACAAAATACTGTACAACACTTGCTGTTGTCAGATTGTTTCTGTTTCAACAAAGGATAAAGCATTTTTTCCATACTTTAAAACATGTTACAAAAATAAGGCTGGCCGTATGAATAAAACTAAAGAAGATCTTCCTTTGCAAAGCCTTCTTTGATAATCTGTGAAGCCGGAAACAGACGCAAGAATATCATACAAATTTCAAAAACGGAAAAGGAGAAATGATCTTCTTCGGTCGATTTTTCCCTTCGCGTTTTCTTCGTCTTTTCAGTGGCCTATGAATGAAGAGAACCGATTATTGAATTTTAAGGTGCTTACCCTCGGCTTATTTAAGACTTAAAATAACATAAGCAAACTACTTGAAGGCAAAACTGAAATTACTGTATGTACAACTTCGATCGTGGTGAGGGAGAGAAAACCCGAACAGTTTGAGTGTCTCAATGATAGTTCGAGTTTTCATGGTCGCATAACAAACACGAGTGGGTTGAGGATTTGGCTGACAGCAAGATATATCTTTGAGGGTTCGAAATATCGAGGTCAACTGTGTGTTTGTAGTACTTCTTATCTTCCGTTTACAATAGGCTTCCTTTTTACCTCTTTCATTCTCCAGTCTAGTTTGAATTTTAATTACTACTGGAAGAAATTGTTAGTCTATATTTGGCCATGAGGCAGGGCGCTCGTCTTTTATTTCATGACTGACACGACATTTTTAAGTGTCATAAGTAAAAATAATTGTGCAATGCAAACGAAATGAAAGACTGCTTTTAACAGACAGCTGAGGGCCATCACAAAAGAACGCTTCGGTTTTTAATTTTCCTTTTCTTTTCCGGAAAATTATGTTACCGGCGATCGAAGAACAGCCGATTATTTTTAGATTATTTTTGAAGCAAGATTTTTATTATTAAAGCTACAAAATGTAAAGGTAAAATTGTAGCAATTTTACGACGATTGTAATTCCATCTTATTCGTCAGATCTTGAGTTGCGTGGGGATGTTTGAAAAGAAGTCGCCGATACAATGGAAGAATAATTAACAAACTCTCGAACACTCGTAAAAAAAAAAAAGATTTTCAGTTGTGGTAAGAAAAGAAATGCGATGTCATAATTTTGCCTTATATCTTGGTTTTTGAAAAAATGGGGATTTTTCTTTAAATTTTGTTGGAGTACCAAAAGGAGCATATCACATGATCATTCTTCTCCAGACATATTCGTCTATAAAGTAATGATTCTGTGGTGTGTCCGGTCAATTAAAATAAAATTACTCGACAAGTAATACAGTCAGGCAGCTGTGCGGGGAACATGCACGACAAACGATTTCCTGATTATATTTAAAACTACTCGAGTGTAATATTAAGGGAATTTTCATCAGATGATATGTTTATTACTGTGATCATTCACTGTCAAAAAAAGGGACAACAAAGAAAAAGAAATGTCAATCAGTCGGCGACTTTCTTCCTATGTTTTAAGAAACTGATGTTCTCAAAAACAGCACTTACATTAAAAAGCATTTCCTTTGGAACACTTGTGATTCTTCAAGCAAACTCTTTCACCTACGTCAAGAACCTGTGTGCTCCTGACCTTCGTCAGTTACTCACTGATTATTACTGGGCATTTCATATTTCACACGAGACGTAGATTTTCAAATCAAACAGGACTTGATTTACAAACGATTGTAATTAAAAAGTTTAAACATTGGGATTGGATTTAAATTTTTTTCAATTTATTTTTTCATGTTTGGCGTCGCGTTCGATTTAAAGGAAAAGGAGGTCCAAAAGGAATTTGAAGTAAACGCTGTTACAGCATGTAGATGATCATTTTTTTTTGTCATAGCACTTATACATTTTTGTTAGCAGTAAACCCTCTTACAGTAAAACATTTAGAATTATTAAAAAATGCCTCTGAATGATGAGCATTATTGAACAGTTTGGTGACTTTTTTGAGGGCAACCGAGCATTTTAGCGGGACAAATGGAGAATTAAGGTGAAGCATTTTAGTGGGGAAAACAAAAGCGTAATATATAAAGGCCTAACTTGCGAGCAGAGGTTTCTTTGTAGCACGGCTTTTAGCATTTCGAAAATCGTTCGCGTGGCTTGTCAGTCGCGTTATTGGTTTCAACTACTACGTGACTGACAAGCCACGCGAACGACTTTGTAAATCAAAGCCGTGCTACAAAGAAACTTCTGTTCGCAGTATTTAAACATGTTAACTGAAAACAAACTGTACTGGAAAACGCCTACACGGTAAACTTGCAATTAAGGATGGCTATGATTAAACCTTCAAAAGAATCAATTTTTATCTGTCTATTCAAACATTATCTTGTCTTGAGAAACTGCCAGTCACTACTGATGAAATGCCGGTAGCAAACCCGAGTTAAGCTGAATTGATATCAAGAGTTTTGGACCGGTTTTTACCCCTGAGAGGAAATCTTGCTTGTGAAAATTAGGGCGAATGACATATTTGTAACCGGTTTTTTTTCTTACACGAGACACGAGGCTTTTTATAACCTGCGGTCACCTTTAAACGATGTTTTATCGACAAGCGACATGGTCTGACTAAAAAGGCCTCATAAAATGACGGGTGACTTATGATACTACGACAAGTTGGACTTTGACCTGAAATTCTCCAATGCGCATTTTCCGTTTACGTCTCCGATACCTACCCTGCAAGTTGGGTTTAGGCGAGTTGGGGGGAAGGGGGTGGGGGGTGGGCGTGGGCGTGGGCGCTGCGTGGGAAGGCAGCTGGCTCGTCCCCAGGGGCCAGTGATCTCTTGTCATTTACGCGGTTGCAGATCGTTCGCAGGAGACTGACACAACATTTCGACGAAGGAAGCGGAGAGAGAAGACACCTCTGGTCCCTCCTTCTTATCTTTCCCGCGCGCACTCTAAAGCCGAGGATTCCGGACTGCCAAACAAACATTTCCAGGATTCCAAATCCTGATTACCTTTTCTACATGGGGCAATTAAAACATACAGACTAAATGTATTTGTAGGCAGTGGCAGCCTATAAACTAGTTGAAATTCTTCGAAGCTTAAATTGTCATTCTGAGAGGAGGAAGTCACCATTCCACAGAGACATTCCGACGCTCACTTAAGTTTTCCGCGATCCAAATGTGCATGTTTTTCCACTTGTAGGGAGCTTGATAACGTTTTTAACATTCTCGCTGGGAGTCAAATATTAAACCAAAACAGTTTGCTTTCAAATCTGCAGGACAGATTTTAAGGCAGCTTTTGTATTATCGGGCATTTGGCAACATCTCCGCGAAAAAAATGAAGGGAGAGTATATCTAATATCTAGCCTAGATTTGGATCTGCAGGCTGTAATTAATCTAATAACATACATAAAACTCCGTGACGAGACAAATTTAAGTTTGCTTTGACTATTCTCATCGCTGAATAAACCATTTTAAGGCTTCTTTCAAAAAATAAAGCGACCATATAAGTGCACAATAAACATTTCGACGGTGGCCGGTTAACGCGATTTTGTTCACTTAACCCTTTAAATCCTAAGATTAAAATTTGAATTCTCATTTGTTGCCTCTACACGTTTCCTATAAAAGTAGTAGTGACAAGTTTTTGAAGCAAAAAACTGCCGGGCTTAGCGACAAATTCACAAAACGGTGTGTTTACAGCAGCTAAAAGGTACAAAGCGTTCTAAACTGGGCGTATGGAGGGGGTACAGAAGAAAGGGTGTGTCTAGTATTGCGTATGAGCAAGACAGGTTTTCTTTCACAAAATAAAGCAATGTGCTTTGAAGTGTATACGTCGTTGATCAACTGCTGAAAAGAGCCGGAAGCCGTGACCTCGTAGCAAAAATGGCAACCTCCACGAAGGGTTAAAATCAATTTTGTTTATATTTACTTAACGGGCCGACCGCACAGGCCTCCAAGAGCCGGAACTCACCTTATAGTAGTAAAGCGGAAGAACCGTGTGGATAAATACTGAAAACCGTAACACAAACGATAGCGCTTCTTCCCGGAGAGGGGGGGGGGGGGGGGGAGGGTCCCCCCTAAAATGCCCTATAGGGGGGGGCCCCCCCAGAAAAAAGACCCTTTTTCGGGCTCGGGGTATATAAAGGGGGAGAGATTTTAAAAGGAGAGATATAAAAGGGGATAGGAAAATTTGTCTTT